ACACACTACAGCTCGGGGTGATGAGACAGGTGGCTTCTTCTTTTCTTTGTTTTCTACTACATACTCGACTGGACAATTCCTTACCTATGATGAACTTTGTAGGTAGTAGTTATACTTATTCTACTACTCCGCTGACATTTTGTGTCCGTTCTGTGCCATTTGAGCTCATTTGTGTTGTGTTCTCTTGAGTTGTGTTACGTTTCTGTGGTGTTTTTTGTATTCTTTTTCTTTTCTTTTCGTTCTTCTTTTAGTCCCGACCTGATTATGGTATCAAGGAATGTAGCGCACCTAGGAGTGCATATAATAAATAAATAAATAAATAAATAATAAAGAAGGCAGCACGGGGCTCGCTCTCCTTTGACCATTCTTTTCAATAGAGCACTACTTCAAGGAGAGGTTCCCTGTCTATGGAAGATTGGGCTAGTGCGACCAATATTCAAAAAAGGCTGTAAAAATGAAGTTTCCAACTACAGACCCATTTGTTTGACCAGCTCTGTCAGCAAAGTGATGGAACGGATACTCTGTCGTGCAATAATGGGATTCTTAACTGAGAGACAGTTGTTGCACAATGTCCAGCATGGGTTCCGTCGGTACAGGTCCACAACTTCAGCATTGTTGTCAACAATCCCTCTGGCAGAGAGATGTAGACAAAGGGAATTTCATCTCCGCGTGTAATATTGATTATGCCAAGGCATACTCGATATCTGTACCTCTCTTGTTGAAAAAATTGGCATCTTATGGCATAGGAGGTCAGCTTCTTCGGTTCCTCGAGTCTTTTTGGTCAACAGAACCCAAGCAGTAGTTATCAACAATGTGAAGTCTTTTATATACCCTACGCCAAGCGCAACATGAGTGGACCCAAACATGTGCCTCAGGCCACATGTTTGGGTCCACTCATGTTTAGATCTACGTGAATGACCTTGTCGAATCCCTCCCCATCGGGTACGTTCTAGTATGTACGCTGACGACTCGAAGATTTATACCGTGAATAACTGCGAGAGATTGCAGGCCGCTATCGACGCTGTTGAGAAGCTGGTCAGACAAATGGCAGCTGGGAATCTCCCTACCTAAAACAGTTATTATGAGAATTGGAAAGAATCATCCGGATTTCGTCTTCACAATGTTCGGAAGCCCCTTGAATGTGCCCATTATGTGCGTGATTTAGGTCTGATGTATAGCGACAAACTCGAATTCGACAGCTACATAAGTCAAATTACGTCAAATGCTAACATGAGGGCCAATTTCATACTCAGAGCGTTTCGGACACGCGATCCAACCCTGCTATTTCGGCTTTTCACACTCTATGTCCGGCCTCTCCTTGAGTACTGCTCTCCCATTTGGTCGCCTTGTAAACGATCACAAATTGATGAAATTGAAAGAGTGCAAAAGAGCTTCACATATAGATGCTTTTATCGGAAAGGTATCACCACACTATCTTATGAACGACGTCTCCATAAACTTGACGCGGAGTCGCTGGAGTTCCGGCGAAAGCTGCATGACCTTGGGCTGCTGTACAAGTTAACAACTGGGAAATAAGTGTTAAGTTGGATGCTCTTTTTAAATGTCTTCCACTATAGGTTTAGCAAGGGGTCACCCCTACCGTGTGCGCCCGTATAAGGCCAAAACGTCGTCCTTCCAAGGTTCGTTTCTTGTAAGAGTCGTTAGTCTTTGGAACAGCTTAGACTGTGAATGTTTCAGGTGGAAGCGAGCTTCGTCCTTTCACAATAACGATTTTTCAGTAGGGCGCAAGTGGCTCACAAAAGAATTTAGGCGTGAGGTTGAATGCATTGCGATAGTCGGCTGCGGACTCACACCATATTCGACGCGCTCTACCTGGAAAACAAACCCAATTTTCCAAGAACAGGCCGGATCTTAATCAACTTATTTTCTACGTGGGCAGATTTGGCTGAAAGTTGGGTTCTAGAGGTAATTCGACCTCCTGAACACGAACATCACATCCACTTAGCCTGATCTAGAGTATTTAGGCGCTG